TTATTTAAAATAAATTCCCTAATAGCCCCCTCACACACACAGCACACCCCAGACACCCACAGCACACACCCCAGACACCCACAGCACCCCCCAGACACCCACAGCACCCCCCAGACACAACACAGCACCCCCCAGACACCCACAGCACCCCCCAGACACCCACAGCACGCCCCAGACACCACAGCACCCCTGACACACACAGCACCCTCAGACGCAGACAGCACCCACAGCACCCCAGACACCCCCAGCACCCCCAGAGACACCCCAGCACCCGAGACACAAACAGCACCCCCCAGACACACACACACCACCCCCAGACCACTTGCACACACACCACCCCAGACACACACACACCACCCCCAGACACCACCCCCAGACACACACACACACACCCCAGACACACACAGCACCCCCAGACACATACAGCACCCCCAGACACACACAGCACCCCCCAGACACACACAGCACCCCAGACACACACACAGCACCCCAGACACCCACAGCACCCCCAAAACCCACAGCACCCCCCAGACACAAACAGCACCCCCAGACACACACAGCACCCCTGACACACACAGCACCCTCAGACGCAGACAGCACCCTCAGACGCAGACAGCACCCTCACTACCACACACACACACATATATATATATATATATATATATATATATATATAATAACCCTCAGTGAGTTAACAGACAAAGAAAATTAGAAACCTAGAATGTGACGGCAGATAAAAACACCCTCACACACAGCACCCCTCTTACACAAACACACTGCGCACCTCACACATACAATACGTCCAAATATATTCTAAATATATATACACACACACACTACAGCACCCCTCACACTGCACCACTACACACATAACGCTCCAGATACACGCTAGATCCCTTACCATATATGCACTCTTAATCCTCTACACACACACACACACACACACACAATCTTCTATACACACTCTGGGTCCTTTACACACACACACTACATTCCTTGTAAGCAAACACATACAACATTCTCTAAACACACCCTCTCTACAACCCCTACACACGCTACGTCACCTATACACACACACTACTGCCCGTATGTACACACTCGCTACATCCCCTATAACACTATGCCCCTATACACGCACTCTCTACAACCCCTAGCCACATATTACACCACAAAATTGACCTATTTACACAATACCACACCACACTCTACACACACGCAATCCCACAAGCATGCGCCAAACACATGCACCATACACTTTCCTGGCCCTTTTGTCCTCTGGTATCCCACTTGTGGAGACACCAGAGACAATTTAAAAGCTAACACAGCGCAAGCATGTTATTACATTTGCTTGCGCTGCGCAGAACAAATTCAGGGCCTTTTTCTAATGCTAGAGCTCTTCAGCGGGGCTCTGCGCATTGAACCAACATGCTCACTTTGAGAGGGGGCGTGTTGTCATTAGTGATGACAAAACACACCCTCTCTGGCCCCGCCCCCTTCTTGGGGGGCCGCTCTAATTGAAAAATGCCCGGGCCTAATTTTTTTCCCAGTCCGGCCCTGTGTAGGACTGATCCCTGCTGTGTGCATCTGCTGACAGTTTGCTCTATTCTGTTCTATACAATTGACATGTTGAATAACAGTTTTATTGTACATCTGGAGGATTATGAATGGACTGTCCCCTGCTGTGGGTATATAGTGGATGCATTACTCTATCTACTGGCAGGGAAATTAAATAGAGCTGATATCTTACTCCGCTCCCTACTCCCACTGGACCTCACAACCATTGGATACACTCCTTCCCCACAGGGATACACCTCCCAGGACACAGTAGTGGAGGCACATAACGGAGTGATTAACAGGGGTGATCCCCCTTACGCTGGGTGACCCCCAAGCGTGGCAGACACCTCTCCAAAGTGACATTGTGGTACAGGGGTGACCCCCCTTACGCTGGGTGACCCCCAAGCGAATCTGGTTCCTGTCCTAGTGACATACATATACTGGGTGATCCCCCTACTCTGGGTGAACCCCAAGCGAATATTATTCCGGTACTAGTGACATACATATACTGGGGGGAACCCCCACGCCCTAGGGCGGGCTCATTTCCACGGAGTACAATCTGTTACTGTATGCACAGACCGGGTCACACTGAATACATGTATATCGACAGAGCCAGGAAGGAGAGCTCATGGTGCTGCCAATTCTCCACAGTACTATATCCTATAAGGGTGACCCCTTGGATAATTTGGAGGCTACCATACCTCCCCATACACGGGCTACGTCCCGACATTACTGACCGCTCATCCCGGTCTTATTGAGGGTGACCCCCTCCTCAGACCACTCCCAGGAAATCTCTAAGTGGTACTGATTGAAACAATTCTGGGTGACCCCCAGTTGTACGTGGAGGCCCACTAAGTGGCAATAAGTGTACTACCGTACCTGACACCTGTTCGGTACCCCATAGACCGAAAGAGTGTCCCAACATGCCATAAGAGACATTCATACAGGGGTGACCCCCCTATGCTGGGTGAACCCCAAGCGAGTCTTACTCCGGTGCTAGTGGCATAGGTACAAAGGGGTGACCCCCCACACCCTTTCTAGGGCTTCTACCTTCAGAGTACGCTCTGTCATTGTATGCACAGACCAGGGCGCACTAGATGCATGTATTCTGGCACCTCTATGCTTCAACTGGGGTTCCGTACGCCCTTCCCTTAACCGAGAAGGAGAACTCACAGTGCTGCCAAAACTCCACAATTCTAGACCATATAAGGATGAACCCCGTGGACTATATATATTGAGGCTTTCACGTCTCCCAGACTCGGGCTACGTCCCGACATTGCAGACCGCTCATCCCGGTCTTACTGAGGGTGTCCTCATTCTCAGACCACTCCCCGGATCCTGCGAAAATGATACTGATTGATCAAAATTCTGGGTGACCCCCAGTTATACGCGGAGGCCTACTGAGTGGCAATAAGTGTATTGTTGTACGATCCTGTCTCCCACGGACCGAAAGGGTGTGAACCAACATGTCGGACTTACCTCAATATCCCCGACCGATTTTCAGGCGAGGATTAAGGCTGCCATGACAGCTCCGGGGGAAGAAGTCCTCTCCAGTATGCTGGCTAACAACCCATCCGACAGAGCTGGTGCAACGGCAGCAACACCAATGGAAGATTGAGATACCGACGTTAGGTCGGACACCCATCATCAATGGACGAGGACTTCATCCTCCCCCCCCCTTCTCTGGAGATCATGAAAGAATGGAGGGCAGAAGAGGTAAAAGTGACAAGACACGCCTAGCAAGAAAGGTTTTTTCTTTGGCACACTGGACACTCCTGTTTTGACTCACGCACCATCCGACAACCAGGGTCATCCGAATGGGGTTAACTGGAGCACCGGGCCCACTTCTGGCTTAGGAGGCCTATGGGAAAAGAAATCCGAGACCGGCTCAGGATGGAATGCCCACGCCCTCTATGTCCGAACAAGATAGTCCTCACTATGGAGCTCGTGGTGATATGTATGTCCCGATCAGTGTGTAGGAGGAGGACTCAAAATGAGTTAAATACTGGATATGATCAGCCCGGGAAAAAATTCTATACTTTGCGGACCTGACCCCACACAAGACTCACCTCTAGAAGCTCACGATGTGAGGGAATGGGTGCAAAGGGCAATATGTAAGTTGGGGAACGCAAGGCAGACAGGTGCACAGAACGCCGCAAAGCAGCCCGATTAAAGATGGATTTCAAACTATTGAAGTTAGGGACGAAAGAGCGAGGACCTCAGGCAGACGGACTATCGTTTGGAGAACCATTTATCTCAGCAACGGTTTGGTAGTAAGGAAGAAGATAGGAGACTATCACCCAGTCATCAACCTATGCCAACCCAATGGTTTTGGGGCGTACCGACAACTCAAGAAGGAAGGTATCCATCTCTTAGGGGATCTACAAGGTTGGACTTGAAGGGCACTTACCTATAGGTTCACATGGTGCCTCATGAAGTTTCTGAAGTCGGTCACTGCGCACTGAAAAGCAAAGGGTATCTGCTGTCACATACCTAGACGACTTACCTTTTGCAAATCCAATTCATGACTACGTTTACAAACGAGATTTATGTTTACAGTTTCGGGAATTGTTGGGATTCATAGTGAACAGAGAGGAGTTGGTTCGATCCCAGTTCCGAGTGATTCAGTTCCTCTATTTCAGAATAGATTCCACCTTGGGCGGATTACACCTTCCCACATCATTGATAGCGACGATTCGTAAGGAAATTCGACGGGTACGGCGGAAAGGCACCATAACCCTTTGACTATTTCCCAGGACTGCTTCACTACCAGGCCAGACAGTGGCTGAAAGCTCACTGCCTGAGATACGGACACACCTATGAAATTGGGATCAGAATAGCGAAGACTTCGATAGTACTCATTACTGCGGTAAAGGAGGCAAGCGTGACACCCAGAAGGGTTGTCCTTAATCAGGATCATCCTCTTCTCCTTCCGTTTTAACTTGCCTTCGGGCGGATCCAAAAGGAGAACATCATCCATTGAGAATGCAGGAGCATCTGGAGTTGGTAGATTGGTGTCTTCCAGGGGAGACTGGTATGTCAAGGGACTATCGCAACCAACTAGAGACCTACTATGGGACTCATGGACGCCAGGTATTCCCCCGAAATAACTTATCCGCATGGAACACCTTGAGTTCGCTGGTGTATGGGAAGGGACTGCGATCCCTTTATTACCCCTATCTCCACGATGCTGGATCTTTATCATACCTTTTCACTACAGGCCGATCGGAACGTTCCATTAACGGGCTACGTTCCGCAATTTCGACGATGCATAGCACGATTCACGACACTCCGGTCAATCAAGAGCCTTTGATATGCCATTTTCTGTGGGGTATCAAACCGTCCAGAACCATGCGTCAAAGTATCACTGGTGTGGGACTTTGATTTGGTTCTTTTGGAGCTAGTCAGATATCACGGTCCTATCCCTCAGTCAGCCATTAGCCAGAGTCACGTTACTTTTAGGTCTTTTCGTCGGGTATCAGATGTACTGGAGTTCGACGTAGACGGTCTTTTCGGTATCACCAGAAGTAATGATTTCTACAGTGTCTCGTAGAACTATATCTTATCCGTGTCCGTATCGTTCCCTGTTACTGACGGTTTCCCAGCCTTTGTGCAGTTAAAGGGGTACTTTGTTACATGGAGATCACGACAACACTTAGAATGTCACATTCAGGACATCTGCTGGTCTTATACCAACCGTACAAGCCAGTTACCATGAACACTCTGTCTAGATGGGTTCATTGGTTGTTATCGCTAGCGAGGGTGGAGACGTGTTTGGGTACTCATTTGGTAAGAGGCGCAGCTGCTTCTCAGGCCTTCACGAGGGGGCCTCTATATTTTCAGCGACGAATTGGACACGGATAGACTACTTCCGTATATTTATTTTCGTCAACCACACACGCATCCTTCACGCTCATACCACAGCTTTAAAAATGCAAAATATGAAGCCTCCTGTCATGTGATAAAATTGTAGATTATGCTAACGTAGTGTACCTATAATCTTAATTTTAATAATGACAGGAGGCGAGTATTTTCCCTCCCTGTTTCCCTCCCTATACTCTGGAAATTTTTTATATTTTGGTTTGTCATTTTCTCAGTGTAAATTATAAGGTTTTGGTATTTCAGTATAGTTATGGGATGCTTATTTGGTTGATATGTGTTAGATCCGTGTTGATTATTAAGTATACTATGGTTTGTTTAATGTTTCAGTATATTAACTTAATATAAATATAGACACATATAGTACTGGATTTAATGTGGACAACAGTTGGTTTCCATCACCTTTCACGTATTTCTGTTCTTTTCAGCGTAATCATCATAGATGGATTCGACAAGATAAAGCTGGAAGGTTTCAAGTTTCGTTTCAAGTTATGTGCTACACGTTACTCAGGACTGTTATTTGAATTCCCTGACGTTATAATAGACTGTTTTTCGCATCAAAGAAAGAGGAAGTCATGTGTCTGTCAGGGCTTTATATATGGATGTGATGCCTGTTACTGATTGGTTTAAAGTTTATTGATTGACTTGTGCTGCTGGAGGCATAAAGTAAAGAAAGTTATGCAAAATACTCGCCTCCTGTCATTATTAAAATTAAGATTATAGGTACACTACGTTAGCATAATCTACAATTATTGGGTATTTTTATATTATGATTGGTAGGTGACTTCCTTTATTAATACAGCATTCCAATCTTGGAACTATAGCTGGAGATCGATCGGGCGATTCCATGTGGACTCCAAAATATAAATAAACCGACCAGTGTTGCTGTAGGGAGGGTGCCTATTCCACATGTGTTTGTAGAGCTCCCCCCCGACAACATTATGAATGGGCTGGCGTCACTATTGGCTGATGCGCAATAGACTTACAAGAGTCCCCCCGCCCCCTGTCCAGGCCTGGAAGTGATTATGATTGGTAGGTGACTTCCTTTATTAATACAGCATTCCAATCTTGGAACTATAGCTGGAGATCGATCGGGCGATTCCATGTGGACTCCAAAATATAAATAAACCGACCAGTGTTGCTGTAGGGAGGGTGCCTATTCCACATGTGTTTGTAGAGCTCCCCCCCGACAACATTATGAATGGGCTGGCGTCACTATTGGCTGATGCGCAATAGACTTACAAGAGTCCCCCCGCCCCCTGTCCAGGCCTGGAAGTCCCGCCCCTGATGGAGTCACGAGCTGACTTTCTGGTGGAGATC